AAAAAAATAATTTTTATCTAACTGCCTCGATACATCCATTACAGAGATAGCGTAAATACAATCCCAAAAATCCCAAAATTACCCATCATATACACCGCACTTAAAATGTTTAAACATAATAATAAAAAAGAAAAAACTTAAGACTTTGTTGTTGACCATGACTTATACATTAATTTGCTATGTTTAATTACTTTAATATTACAGAAAAATAGAGAACTTAAATACACTTTTTAATTTGTCGTGGTCTTAAATTATAACGCGTTTGCTCTGGTGTTTGAGTGGGGATCGAACGTTCAGGCGAGAAATTCGTTTCGAAGGAAGAACGCGGAATTTCATTAATTGTTGTGCCCGAATCTAAAATAACATTCTCATGCGCCGCGTCTGGTACTCTCTGGTGTTGCGCAGTGTCGGTCAATTGTACGGGCGGACAGTCACGATCTTCATTTGCGTCATTTTGACTAGGTAAATGCCAGGAATGCCGCCAATTTTTCTTGCGTATTATTTGATCAATATGTCTGGTATTCGTTTTATCACCCGTATTTACCGCGTACGTGACTTTTCCCGTCCGCTCAGTCACTATGCCTTCAGTCCATTTGTCCCCTCTTCCGTAATTCCTAACTAGCACGGTATCGCCGACGGCAAGTTCGCGCGAGCGTCCCCCCGCGTGCCGCAGCTGCCTGCTCTGCGCGCGCCCTACGGCGTCGCCGGCGGTGGCGGCGGGCCGCAACAGATCTAGACGCGTGCGCAGCCTCCGCCCGAGCATGGCTACAGCGGGCTCGCGTTGCGTGCTGCAATGCGTACTGTTGCGATACTGCATTAAAAATTTACTTAACGCGCGGTCGACATTTTCACCTTCCACTTGAGCCTTCTTGATAACCTTTTTCACGGTCTTCACAGCATTTTCTGCCGCACCATTACTCGACGGGTGATATGGTGCCGTCACGATATGGTCTACACCATTTTTCTTTAAAAACTCCTCAAATTCCAGAGCAGTAAACGGTGGCCCGCCATCAGTCACCAATTGTCTCGGTATACCAAATCGAGAAAACATTTCTCTAAATTTATTTTCCACAGCTGACGCAGTTGTCCCATTACTCATATGGAATACCTCGATCCACTTGGAATGGGCGTCGATGACGAGCAGGTAGTATCGGCCGCCATGTTGAAGAAAATCCGCATGTAAACGGGCCCACGGTTCCGAAGGCCATACGTAGGGCACAGGCGGGGCGCGCGGCGGCGCGTCCCTCTGCTCGCGGCACGCGGCGCAAGTGCGCGCGCGTTCTTCTAGCTCCGCATCGAGCCGCGGCCACCAAACGTAGCCGCGAGCTATTTGTTTCATCCTCACCATGCCCACATGACCCGCGTGGACCTCCTCCACTATATGTTTCCGCAAAACACCCGGTATGACCACCCGATACCCCCACACGATGCATCCATGATCGACGTGTAGCTCCTCCTTGCGATGAAAATACGGCTTCTCGCCTTCGATTTCGGTCTGGTGCGGCCATCCACTTACGATATATCCATATATCTTTCTCAATATAACGTCTTTCGCCGTCTCCTTCGCCACATCCTTGTGGCTAAGAGGAAAGCTGTCTTCGACAAAGTGCAAATAGGTCGCGGCGTCATCCTCCTCCGCCGACCTACTCGACGTCGGCTGGGGTAGACGTGACAAGCCGTCAGCATTACAATTTTTATCCGTGGATACAAATACGATGTCGAAATCGTATGCTGCTAAACGCACCGCATATCTCTGAAGACGACTAGCGGCAGTTTGCGGTATACCGTGTTTCGGTCCAAAGATGTACGTAAGTGCCTTGTGATCGCTCCGAAGAGTAAATTTACGTCCAAATAAATATTGGTGGTGCCTGCTTACCCCATAGACGATCGCCAGCGCCTCCTTGTCTATTTGGCTGTAGCGCCGCTCAGTGTCTGTGAGCGTACGCGAGGCGCAGCTGACGATGCGCTCGCTGCCGTCGGGCAAGCGGTGCGCCAACACAGCGCCCAGACCGTACGCGCTGCTATCCACAGCGAGTACCAGCGGCAGCGCAGGCGAGTAGTGCGCGAGCGCGGGCCCGCTCACTAGTTTGTCTTTTACCGCTTGAAATGCCCGCCCGCAATCCCTACTCCAACACCATTTACAACCTTTTGCTAATAACTTATACAATGGATTTAGCAATGTACTCATGTTCGGAATGAAGCGAGAATAATAATTAATTAAGCCTAAAGCGGCCCGCAGTTGAGATACATTTTCGGGCACAGGTAAATTTACAATAGCCGATACCTTACTTTTATCAGTATGTACCCCATTCTTATCAATTCTATAACCTAAGTATGAAATTTCATTCATAAAAAATTCACATTTTTCAAATTTAATACGTAATCCCGCTTCTTTTAACCGAGACAATACCTCTTTGACATTTTGTAAATGATGCTCTTTATTTCGACCGGTGATACATATATCATCAATAAAAGCTACAACACAATCTAAACCACTGAGGGTTTCCTCAATTAATTTCTGGAACATTTCCGGTAAACATTTTAAACCAAACGGGGCCCTTCGATAAACAAAAACACCCATATGAGTCGTTATAGCCGTTAGTGGTTGCGAAGCTTCATCTAACACTACTTGCAAATATGCATTTTTTAAATCCAATTTAGTAAACTGTTCGCCACCACTTAACGCTGCAAACAACTCTTCTGTGCGCGGCAAGGGATAATGAAAATCTTTTAATAATGGATTTACTGTCACTTTATAATCGCCGCAAATTCTAATTGTTCCATCGCGCTTAATAATGGGTACAATGGGCGTTCCGTAGTCAGACCTATCCACTTTATAAATGATGCCCTCCGCTTGCAAGCGTTCTAACTCGCGCTCAACCGGCGAACGCAACGCCAACGGTAGCGGACGGGCCTTACAAAATATCGGCGTTGTATCTTTCAAATGCAATTTTAATTTTGTTTTGAATGTGCCTACCCCGTTACCAAATACTTCAGGAAATTCATTTCGTAAATTTATAAGTAACGAGTCGGCCGGCTGACATATTTTATTAATATTTATGGCATTTAAATTTAGTTTGCGTAACCATACACGGCCTAACAGCGGCGGGCCGCCGCGCGCGATAACAAACAAAGGTAACTCGGACGTCTTGCTCCCACTCGTTACGCGCACCGTGACGTAACCGAGAGGGATGATCGCCTCGCCCGTGTACGACTGCAATTTAATATTATGTTTCGTAATAGGTAAATAATAAAAATATTTGTCATAATATTCTTTTGACACCGCCGAGATTCTGCTGCCCGTATCTATCTCGAAAACCATGTCTATATTTTCTACACGTAAAGTACAGTGATAAGGTCCGTCCGTAACATTATTTCTAACAGAAATAATATGATGCAAACAATCACTCGCATCGCTCGCTGAGTCACAACTATCAATATAATTATGCAATTTCGACTTATCGCCTT